TATCTAGGCCACATTATTTTAAGTGATGGAGTGGCAATTGATCCATCTAAGATCACCAGCATGACTCAATGGCCTTAAACCAAAGATGCTCAAGGCCTTGCGCGAGTCCTTGGATTGACTGGATATTATCTAAGATTTATGAAGGAATATGGAAAAATTAATAAGTTGTTAACCGATATGCTAAAAAATGACTCATTTCTCTGGTCCCAAGAGGCTGAGCAGGCTTTTGAATCACTCAAGGTGGTCATGGCCACCACATCAGTCCTTGCATTATCAGACTTCTTTGAAGCCTTTGTGGTGGAGTGTGGTGCATCTAGCATTGGTTTGGGAGGGGTGCTAATGCAAGAGGGACGTCCCATAGTCTTTACAAGAAAGACTCTTTCTGGACGCAACCTAGGCCGCTCTATCTATGAGAAGCAGATGTTAGTAGTTATACATGCAATCACCAAGTAGAGGCCATATTTGTTGGGCCGACATTTTATGATCCATACAGATCATCATAGTTTGAAATTCATGTTGGAACAATAGGTAGTAACTTTAGCTCAATAAAAATGGCTCACAAAACTCATGGGGTATGATTATGAGATTTTTTACTGGAAGGGTAGTGTAAATAGAGCTGCTGATATCTCGCCAAAAAGAAGATACCAATGGTGCTATTGCTTTGGCTATATCTTCTCCCCATCATATTTGGTTTGAGAGTATTAAACGAGGTTGGGATGAAGACATGGAGCTGAAGGGCATTATTCTCACCATCTCACGTGATCCTACTGCTCACTCGGATTTCACTTGGACCTAGGGCGTGTTACGTTTCAAAGGATGGTTCGTGTTAGGAACCAAGTCACCATTGAAATTTCAAGTGTTACAAGAATTTCATTCCAGCTATGAAGGAGGACATTCGGGAGTGCACAAGGCACAAAAGAGGGTGGCAAGATCACTTTACTTGAGAGAAATGTGGCGCGATGTGCCCAAGTTTGTTGCTAAGTGTGATACTTGTCAAAGGTACAAGGGAACAACAGTGGCTACCCCAGGTACATTGCAGCCCTTGCCAATTCCATATCAAGTTTGGATGGAAATCTCCATGGATTTTATAGAAGGGTTGCCAGTCTTTTTTGGGAAAAGTGTCATTTATGTGGGGATCGACAGATTGAGCACATTTCATCCCATTGTCTCACCCGAATCCAATCATAACAGTAGCCTGAGCCTTTCTATACAACATTTTCAGGTTACATGGGATGCCAAGGTCCATCATTAGTGACCGCGATCATGTCTTCATTAGTCAGTTTTGATAGGAATTATTTCAGCTGCAAGGGAGGTAGCAACAGATGAGCTTATTTTATCATCCACAGACTAACGGTCAGACAAAAGTGGTTAATCGCTACCTCGAGACATATTGCAATGTGTCACTGGGGACAAACACAAGCATTGGGCTTAGCCATTAGCAGAGTGGTGGTATGACCCTACAACTCACACATCCACCTGGATGTCTCCATAGGTGGTTTATTGCCAACCACCTCTGACAGTGATACTTATGTCATAGGAGCTACTAATTTTGATGTTGTGGATAGAAGCTTTTTACCTTGAGAAGCTATTCTCTGGCTTCTAAAATAGAATTTAGAAGGGGCTCGAAACCGTATGAAGCAGCAAGTAGACCATCATCGTTCGAAACATGAATTTGAGGTTGGAGACCTTGTATATCTTCGTTTACATCTGTATCGATTGTCCACTGTGGCAGTTCGCCATGCCATGAAGCTATTTCCAAGATATTATGGTCCATTTCCCGTCATTCAGCGAATTGGAAAGGTGGCATACAAGTTGCAATTGCCTAATGGGTCTCATGTGCATTGAATGTTCCATGTATCCTGCCTCAAAAAGAAGTTAGGTAATCGTGTTGTTATGCTGGCCAACTTGCCTGAGATTGATGAAAACAGAACATTCAAGGTTGAGCCTGTTGCAATCTTGGATCGTAGGCTAGTTAACGAAGAAATCGAACTGTGACAAAAGTCTTAGTGCAATGGTCTAACATGGACCCTACTCATGCAACTTGGGAAATTTGGCATCAGCTAAAAGTGAAGTATCCACACTTTCAACCTTGAGGACAAGGTTGATTTCATGGGGGCAAGAATGTTAAGTGCCTGTTTGAGTATGGTTGAATAAGCACCAGGGCCTAAATGGTAGGAGTCAGTTAGTTTCTTATTTTGAATAAGCATCAGGGCCTAAATGGTAGAAGTCAAGTTAGTTTTTTATTTTGAATTAATCCAATTACTTAGTTGTTATTGCGGTAAAGCTATTTATTAAGATAGCTTCCTTAAAAGTTGCTAATAGATTTTTAGGAAGATTTGATAGCTGTAGAGAGGAGACGAAAGGTTGTATGCAAATTTTAAAGTTAGTGAATGAAAAGTGCTCTCTTCTTATTGTTGGAAATAGAGGTCACCCTCTTGGAAGAGTGAATTTACTGGTTTTTCTTGCTATCTTCTTCAAAAATATAGCTTTATCCTTATCAGATTATGAGAAAAAAGAGCAAGAATCACATACATTTATATCATCCATGAAACTTTTAACAAATTAGAGGAGAAATACATGTAATCTAGCATCTATAACATCTTATTCATAATTGGTTAGTACCTTCCGTGAAAGATAGAAAAGGAAAAAAAGCTAGAGAATTTGTAAAAGAGGAAAAGAGAGAAGAGGAGGATTCAGAAATGTTTACTTGCTTGGATCCCTCTGTTGATGATTTTACTACTTATAGCTTAATGACTTTTGTTGTTTATGGCTCTGATTGGAAACCAAACCTTTGTTTAAAGAGAGAGAGACTACTTATGGCCTGACAATTTTGCTGCTTATGGATCACTAAACCTTTGTTGAGAGAGAGAGAGATTTTCCCGGGACAAAGAGAAAAAGAGAAACACTAAAGAGCTCTAATGGAGTGAGAGAAAGAGATGAGAAACACAGTATTCACACAGAGTTTTGAGAGAGATCAGAGTTTCATTGTGGCTCTTTTGTTTATCGTTTTTTGAGTTACCGCGCGTAAAAGGATTACATGTCGCAAGGTAATCAATTTTTTACCTATTCCTACCTATAATAGTTTTCACAATTTTTGGAGAAATAGTGTGTAATATATTTTCATTCCCATACTCTTTAGGTGTACCCAAACAGTGGAAATGTCAAATTTCCCTATAATCTGTTTCCTTGTAATAGATTTCCAAGTATCCAAACGACCCCTAAATAAAGTCTCGTACCATTCTCCCATGGATATAGGTCACGATTTGTGACTAAATCACGTTAAATCCTTGTGTTATGTGGTATGCTTTCTGCTGCATTTTCATTCCATATTATTCTTTTGATGCTATATTGTTTCCATCTCTAGTTTATATGATATTTGATGCATAATAAATGTTAATGTGACATATCCCTGATGTATTTCACCACCATTAATCCTAACATGGGAAAACGAGGGGGAAGGGGGGGGAGGGGGGGGGAGGGAGGGAAAGAGAGGGAGAGAGAGGTTGGGGAAACACGGAAAGAGGGAAAGGTTGGGAGGGTTGCGGATACAGAGAGAGAGAGAGTGAGAGAGTTGAGGGAAATACAAAGAGAGAGTGGTTTGGGGTGAACCAAGAGGAGAGAGACAGAGAGAGAAGTTTGGGGAGAAATACGTGAGGAGAGAGAGAAGGGGTTTAGAAATGCATGTTTTGTTAACATTTGTTTGGGGAAAATGGGGTAAAAGTGGATAAAGTTGGTTCAAGAGGTTAAAAAATACAATACATAGAATTTTTATGCTGCCAGATATGTTTTGAAAATCTGGGTCTATTAAGATACGTAACTTAAAAACATAGTGTGTTAGGATATTTCCCCCTTCTTTTTCTTTTTTTTCTTTTGAGATTTGTTGCTAGGTTGATGAGCTTACACAGAAATCCTCCTAAACATACTCTTAATAAGGTTTTTATTTTAGCACATGGACTGCATACACGCCGGACTAATGATCTTTAGACTTTCTTAGGAGTGATGAACACATATTTTTCTCTTGGAAAATGTTTTGATAGGCTGCAGCCCTATCAAAATAAGTAAAGCCTCACCTCAAAACTCATAAAAAAAAGGTGTAGTTCGGGCATTGGAAAAACTTCAAATCGATTATCTCAGCCTTGATCATTATAGTTGTGAAAAATAAATAGTTGTAACACATTATCGAAACCGTCCCTTTCGTGCTAAAAATAAATCTGCACATATCTAGAAGATTCGTACCATTTTTTTTATTTCAAATTTTACATCCATTTTTTAAGCTTCAAATTTTACATTCTGTGTTGGAATTTGATTTTAGTACCATCATTGAGATTTCCAATATATAAGTGCTTTGTGGTTGAGAATTCAAGGTGAGGTATTTCTTTGTTTTTATAAAACCTAGGCTTTATAAAAAAAATTGTTGCAACATTTTTTTATGTTAATGTCCAAAAAAGAAAAGTGCATCATTTTCTTTTGAACTGTTGTTTCATACGGGCTGGACCGTATTCCTACAATATGTAGAGGTATATAGCATCCATTTTAAAGATAGATGCAAATAGGTGATCAATCTAAAAACAATTGTAACTAACAGTGCAAATGTTTTTTTAATATAATTATTATTTTTAGTTTTCAAAAAAAAAAAAATTCATATTGACTATCTTCATGTTAAAGATTAAATATTCTCTAAAAATTATGACCAAATTATATTTAAAAAATATATTTATTGTCAAGCCCACATTTCTATAGTATGCAGGCTGGCGGCATGCTAACCGCATCCTTTTCTTTCTCGATGGAAATTTTTGTTACTTCTACCTCCCACGACGGACCCACACAACTTGTGAATCCAATTGGAACCAACCACATCAAAAACCACTACCATTTTTGGCAGTTTCGAACACGTTTGCTTGACTAATATGGATTTCCTTTTATATCGGTTTCACGTATTGCAATCTTTGTGCCACCATTAAAGATAACCGCTCTCTTTACAAAATCAAAAAGTCACAGAGGGAACTTTCTCTGTTGTGTTCTAGCACCTCAACAGAGAGAGAAGCTTTGGCAATGGAGTTGAGGGTTTTGCCTTATGTCTCCTTCATTGCAGTAATGGTGGCCCATGCAGGTACTCATTAGCATACAACAAGCAAGGCTCGTGTCTTCTTTCTCATTACATTCTCTCTCTCTTACATATATATGATTCTGAAATATTTTGTGTTTCATTTATATTATTCTCTTATGGAGTTTTTATGCCTTAGAGAGTTAGAGGGAGAAAGTTCTTTCTGAGTAGTTGTGTGAGTTAATAGATAGAGGGAGTTGTTTTCAGTTGAGCAAGCAGCTGTTTGATTTAGAATATAGTCTTGCATGCTAAGAAGAAACGAGGGGGAAGTAACTTTAAGTAGTCATGGCTTAGGTACAACAAATTGAGAGAAATAGAGAAAGAGGGAGCTCTTGTTTTCTTAGACCTTGAGAGAGAGGAGAAAGCTTCCTATGCTTCCCCTACAGCACAGAAGTTCTGTCCTTCCCCTACCATCCAGCCGTCCAATTTTGATCAAGAGAGCCACTCACCGTTTGATTTTAGATCCGACATTTCAAAGTATTTTATTTTTAATTTTTTATATAAATTGTATTAATATGAAATTTGGTACGTGCCATCTTCTCATTGGGGCGCACCTATAAAAAATATTAAAAATATTTTTTCGATAAAATATAATGACCAAATTACCCCTTGAATCTTTCAGGGGTATTTTGGTAATTTTATTTTATTGAAAATATTTTTTTTATATTTTTTTCTAGTGTGCGAGTTTAATAGAGGAATGGATGTCCAAAATTTTGTATCAAAATAGTTCCTAGAAAAAAATTAAAAATAAAATAGTGTAGAAATGTGACATTGTGATTGGGGCAATCTTAGCCCTCGATTCAGATTGTACGGTTGGATAAAGGGGAGGATAGAACTTCTATGTTGTAGGAGAAGCATAGAAAGCTTGCCCGAGAGAGACTCCAAATGTTATTTTTGGACAAATTTATCCTGCTTTTCATAAATCTTAGGGTACGTTCGGTTCAACGGCCTTGGAAGCAATTTCATAGCAATGTTAGGTATGAAACTAATTTCTCATATTTTTACATTAGTGGGATGCTGTTTGGGAATGCGCTTTCCTGTAGCCAGTCTGCTTTCCCATGGACCAAACATCAAAAAACAGTGGTTTGCAGGGAAATCTCTTTCCCCAAAAGAGATTTCCCGGTAACCTAATGTCCCCTTAATTACATGAAAATAAGGTAAGCTATCAGAGAGATCAGATAAAGAAAAGGAAAGCTTCGCGGGGTTACAAAGCAAACAAAAAAGTCAAGTAGCTAACCGAACCACTAGCTGAAAAAGAACACTTACGCAACCATTATGTTCAAAAGATATTTTAGCCTGAATTTCACCCTCCTGCTGTTCATGTAAGGCCTAGGCTTTATCTATAGAAGATTATGACGTTTCATAACCAAACACCAATTATTATCAATCATTAGATGTAAAATTAGCTAAGATGTGTCATTTACTAGGCGCAAAGTCCAGAATAAAATTTCTCTAATGATGTGACATACTTGCGCAAAGTCCAGAATAAATTTTCTCTAATGATGTGACACACTTTAAGCTATTGGATTTTATATTTGATGGCTAAGTGTGTTTGTAAATTTCTTGTACCTAAAGTGAATGGTCTTATAGTACATAATCCCAACCTTAGTGGCCTAATAATATATTTCAGCCTTGTGAAATATGTATTTGAGCACTTGAAGTGGACTGTTCAAATAATGTTCTACAAAATATAATATTTAAGCAATGTATTTTTTCGAATCCTTATTTTTTATGTCAAGATGATCTATTTGAGGGTTTTCTATGCTAGATTTTGAGGTACTAATTTTTATATGCCTTGTAAACTTTTTCCTTACATGTGCAGTTGATGCACATGATTTCGCGAAAATCGGGCTGAACTATGGCATGAAGGGTGACAACCTTCCCCCACCCTCCCAAGTAGTGGCCCTCTACGAGGACCACGGCATCCAAAAAGTGCGCCTCTTTGATCCCAACCCTGATGCCCTCGAAGCCCTTCGGGGCTCTGGGATTGGCATTCACCTCGGCGTCCTAAATGAAGACATCGGGAGTATTGCTACTAATTCTGTCGTTGCTGATCAGTGGGTCGCGGCCCATGTCAAGCCCTATGTTCCCGACGTTAACATCACTTATGTCTCTGCAGGCAATGAGTTCGTCACTGATGATACAGCCGACCAGGTTCTTGTTATCACATGGAAATTATTTCTCTTTTTAAAAAGTAAAGCCGCACCTGAAACTTCTCTGAAAATGCAGCCCCTTATCGATCTATTTTCGACCATACAGGTTATCAACCTCAATGGTGATCCTAGTATCTGATTTATTTTTATTTTTCTCACAGGTTCCATCAGCTATGCAGGCCCTTCGCAAAGCCCTTGATGCCGACGGGTTGTCCAACATCAAGGTCACCACGACGATAGCCACGAGCGTACTCTCAGCATCATACCCTCCATCGCAGGGGGCCTTTACCTCCAGCGTGACCGCCGCAATGACGTCAATCGCAGCGTTACTCACCCAACAACAAGCCCCTCTCTTTGTCAATGTGTACCCCTACTTTGCTCATGCAAACGACCCTGACAATGTGAAGCTCGACTACGCCCTGTTCACTGCTCTGGGCCCAGTGGTGCAAGACTCTGGCCTGAGCTATCAAAACCTCTTTGACACTATCCTTGATGCGATGTACTATGCGTTGGAGAAGGTGGGTGGAGCATCTGTGGAGCTCGGAGTCGGAGAGACTGGGTGGCCATCTGGTGGCGATGCGGGGGCAGCAACGATCGATAATGCAAGAACATACACTAACAATCTGATAAAGCACATTGCATCGGCTCAGGGCACTCCCAAGTTGCCTGGAAAGCTCATAGAGACTTATATTTTTGCCACCTTCGATGAAGACTTGAAGCCTAAAGGCACTGAACAGAACTTTGGGCTCTTCTACCCTAGCAGGGAACAAGTCTATGCCGTGGACTTCTTCCCCAGTGTGTAAGAACTGGGCATGTTTGTTTTTTGGGGCTAAGTATTTGTGACTATTTTCTTATTTTGTAAATCTAAAAAAAAAAAACAGTTTATTGTTTTAAGTAGTGGCAGTAGATCTCATTACATGCTTTTTGTTACTGTCAGTTAAAAGCTTTCTCACATGAGCTTTAGCATCTAGTGCTTCAAATCATGCTATTTGATCCTTTTTAATTGCAGGAATGTTGGGTATATTAGATTGGAAAAAGTTTATATAAGGATGCTACTGTAGAACTACGGATGCCCTTCAAAAATCCATCGGAAAAGGTAGTTTTAATGTTGGAAAACCCTTTGATTTCTCGACATTGAGATACATGACTATGAAAAATAAAAAGATTTAAAGTCTAAAAAATAGTGCATTTTACAACATATTATCTACACT